TCTTCTCGGCTCCTCCGGGGAATTCTTTCGGGCCCCACTGCCGTAGGGGATCACTTAGTACGAGAGATTGGCAAGGGTGGTCTCCGGTAGGGATTTGGGGACCGGTTTCGGCGACCACGCGCCCGCCAGCCTCGCCGTTCTCTTTTCTCCTCTACCGGAGCTACCCTCGCACGTATCACCGCGTGGGTTTGCTCTGCAAGGCCATGGCGCACTCCCTGACACCAGATCCCAGTCACAGCAGCAGGACGGCGTCGAGCACAGAGGAAGAGGAGGAGGATGAGGAGGCGGAGGAGGAGGAGGAAGCGCATGAGGAGGGAGAAAGAAGAATGACGATGTGAAGGCAAGTGAGCGAGGGTAACGAGGAGCATATTAACCGTGTACAGATGTGCCTGGCTCCGTTCACACTGTTTTTTCACTGGTGCGCAGCCCGAGCCCACATGGTTTTAGCATTGCCTGCTGCTGCAGCGGCTCGGATGACAGGAATATGGACCACACTGGCTCCCCAAGGCGACACCAGTGCTTGATGAACCGAAACGGCGTCGGTGAAACATACACGCTTCTACTACAAGTGATTTTTGTTTTATCCAAGAGCCCCGCAGATACGGACAGGAGTGAAGAGCAGCATGGAGCACGCATGCACGGCAAGACAAGGATTCGCGTAAGCGGAAACCCATCAGTCCGACATTCCGGGGCGGGTGGCAATTTTCATTGCATGCATCAGGAGCCGCAGTTCAGTCGACTCTAGACGGCCGCGCAGAGTGTACAGGACATGTCGGAAGGCAGCTCTACCACAGCCACAGGGCTGCATTGCGCTGCATGTCCACCACCATGCGGGCCGCGTGGTGCACCAGCTGTTCCAGACTCAAGCCGATCTCCCTCCACCTGGAAATGCGTTCGAGCATGTATGCCCGCAGTGCCCGTGGGGATGCTGACCAAGTCGGCACTGAGTTGTTGGGCAGGAGGTCCAAAGTACGCGCATCGAGATCGATCACCATGTCCAACCACTCGAGGCGACGGCTTTCCGAAGCAATATCAAACAACACTGGATAGTTACATCAGGCGCAAAGCCTCTCGGAGACAACGTTTACAAAGGATTGCGGACACCATCGCCGCGTCATCGACGTGCCTGCCGCAAGCAGCGACGTCTGACCATCGGCAGCCAGGCGGGAGAAGCCTCCGACAACGGCACGTTATCTTCCCACCTTGTCTCGGCCGCGCAGCTGACCAGCGAGCACGCGATCTTGCCCAGGAGCCCCCCGATGAGGACCCCGTCGAGCTGCACGACGCGATCTCCAGCGCTGGCGAGACTCGTGCGGGTGCCAGCGGCGAGGCACCTCGCAAGCTCCTCGGAAGTGAGTGTGGCCAGATCTCTCCGAGGGCTCCCTGGCCTGCCGCCGAGGCACGCCCGGCGGCTCCGTGCTCGGAACACCGTCACCGTCCGCCGGGGCTGCGCGCCTGGCAGCCCGAAGCAGAGCGAACAGCGCTGCGTCGTCGGCGCCCGAGGCCTGCACGCCTCCGAAGAGCTGCCCTGCGTCTGCAGCAGTGCCCTCCAGTGCAGGGGGATTCTCGACGAAGAATAGAAAACAAAAGCAAAAAACAGTCAAAAGATCGTCCCCAGACCATGTCTGGACTATTTTTCTTTACGATGTTCGGGGAGGAGCTGGCGTGGACCCGAGCATCGGAGGCACCGACAGGGGCCAGCACCTGGGCCCCGGCGTGCCTCGAGCTGCGCGGTGCTGGAAGACGTCGGCACGATCCCACAACCGCCAAGTTTTCAAAGTCTGCTGTGAACCTCCTCGCAGCGGTCTCAAGCTCGGGCGAAGGGAACTATGCACATGCACCGATCCTGGCAAGGCCCATCCTTGACCCAGGATCGGTGCATATGCCTTGCTGGCCAAGGTAGGAGTGCGTATGCACCGATCCTGGGCCAGTTCGGCGTATGTGCATAGTTCTCATTCCTCTATCAAGCCCTCGGTAGAGTAGTCTCCAGTTGGCCTTGCGCGGCCACCCAGCGAAACTTGCCACCTTCCTGCAGCAGCTACGCCCCTGGCGCGTGCATGAGTGAGGACACTCTGGCCTGCAAAGCACTTGCGCTTCTTTGTGTTGTAGACGTGCGGCAAACGTCACACCTCCCTAGAAATGCCAAGCCACTTGTGCAGCCTCTCAGGAGCACAAGCGGAGAGCGATGTATGCAGCAGACCGTTGGCCATCTCCTGCGTGAACGGGGCAAAGCTCCACGAAGGATTGTTTTCCACCCATGCCGACTTCTTGGCTTTGCCATCTGGGCAAAGATGGCAAGCTTTGTCCAGCGATACATTCTCCACGTGATACAAATATTCTCCGCCAGTTATGTTCTCCTTGAAGTGCGGCTCCGAGAGTATGGCCAGACTTTCAAGATGTATCAGTTTTGGCTCGGGTGCTTCCTTGGGTTGCCCTGGTGCCTGTTTCGACGGCTCGCGTGGTCATCCGTTCTGTCCGCTTCGTCCCTTCAGCTTTCCTCCTTCTCCTCCAAAAAAATGCGTGGAACAAAATCTTCGCCAGTTATGTTCCAGATGGCCACCTGACGGCGCAAAGACCGATCCTGGGAGAACCGGTGCATTCCCCAAACTTTCCCGACAGCTCTCCAGACATGTATTCCGAACCACCGTCGGGCACAGGAGAAGGCTGCTCTCCATGAAACCTGCTCTAACGACTCGAGCGAGGGACGGATTGGAATGTCCCGCCTCTTCGACATCAACTGAATGCCAATTCCTGCCAGCGCCTTGCCCCTAGCTCTGGACGACAGCCTGGCACACTCATCCCATGGGGCTGTTTTCGCTGTGCGGGAGCTGTCCACCATATCTGAAAGCAGTCGTGGACGCCCTGCTGCCACCCGGATGTGACTACGCATCCAGACTCTTTCAGCAAAAGGGCGCTTGCATATTATCGCACAGTCTCGGAGACAACGGTTCACAGATGCAATCTGGGAGCGGAAACCAACCTGAACGACCAAGCTGTTCATGGGCGGAAGGCCACGGGCTCGAGGAGCGGCGTTCATTCTTCGTTCTGCACGTTGCTTCCGCAGAGGGCCAACCACTACACTACGGAGTTGGGCTGCTATGCTCGGAACCCCAATCCATGGACGCGCCCAGCGTGCCCATGAAGAGGACGAGCAATGGCCAATGCAGCTCACTATACGCATCGACCAGACCCTGGGCACCAGCAGTTGCACGCTGCCATGCATCATACACGTATGCGAACGATTCCTTCCACCACCACTCCGACTTCAAGGCGTCACACTGTTTGGCTGAAGTGGGCGGCATACTAGGATGCACACCCGGGCTGACACCAGCGTGAGTCACCTGCGGGAGGCCTCTGTCGAATATGCCGATCATGCTAGCGACATGTCGCCTTTCCCGCTGTCCTTGAAGGGACTTTCGCTGCGGAGGACGTGGGGAGATGGGGAACGACCTGCACAACTCGAATGTGCGACCCCCACTCGCTCATTCGCTCGGCATCAGCCGCATCAGCTCGGCAGGTCCTGTACGCAAGCACAAAATGTTTAATGAGAAGGCTGCCCACGCCTCGCCAACCTGTACCGCACCTTGTTCGCAGCAGGGAGGCTCGAGCGAGCACGTCCGCAGCCGTGCTCAAGCCACCTGCACAAGGCGCCACCGTGGCCCCGTGGATTCACAGCACGACAGCGCTTGGCCAATCCAAAATGGAGGAAGCCAGTGCCAACCCATGCATATACAGCGAACTGGTTAGTGTCTTCAAGTGGGAGCGTCAAAGCACGCCTCTGCAACTCAAACGTCACCCCCTGCTTCTCTGAGGCGAGCTGGGCAGCAAAGCATGTCACGATGATTCGGAGCAAGTGCCAGCAAGATGGATCTAGCTTGTCGGCAACACGAATTCTTTCTTAACCAGAGGGCCGACCGGCAGATACGAAGCGCCCCCCACAGCAGTTCGGCATCGACATCGTGCCGCCGAGTCATTTAAGAAGCTGGAAACAAAAAGAGCTCGACTTTGTCAAGAAGTCTGCAAAAAACCCAGAATCGCTGTGTTGGTGGACACGTGGCTGGCAAAGCTCGGTGGTGGCCAAGCTGAAGAAGGCATTGATCAAGACCAACACGGCCGAAGTACAAACCAGGCCGCGCTCCCGAAGAGCTCGTACACCACCAACTCAGCCACGCGCAGAGGGGGTTGGGGGGGGGAGTGGCAGGGCTTCTTAGAAGCACCCCTGCTTCTTAGAAGCAGCCTCCTTCTAAGAAGTCCTCCCCCCTCCCTCCACCTCCTTGCGCGCGCCGCCAACCAACGCTGAAACGCTGAGCATGCTCCCAGTCACCGCCCAAAGCCTCAACGATCACCGCCTATCAAACCACCCCAACCCAACCCGAAGGCCTCGATTTGCCCTCCACTTCCAGTGGGGGGTGGGTCGGGGAGCATTGAAAACACATGGAACCCGTACCCCCCCCCCAAACCGAAATTCGGGTCAAATTCGGGTCTTCGGATTGGGTTGGGGTGGTCTGGTAGGTAGTCAAACGAAGAACTCCTGGATGACACACGTGACGAGCAAGGATGAAGGCCCAGGCATATCCTCTCAGTTTGTGCGAGACTGGCGTGCACCTAGAGTTGAGGGTGCCACGTGAACCGCCGTCGCAAACAGCCGGGAGTGGTCCACGAACCGAGGGTAACTAGAAGCAGACTAACCGTGTACAGATGTAACTGACTCACTCCGCTCACTGATTTTTCACAGGTGCGCAGCCCGAGCCCACATGGTTTTAGCATTGCCTGCTACTGCAGCGGCTCGGATGACAAGAATATGGACCACATTGGCGCCCCAAAGCGGATCGGGGGAAGAGGGGGAGAATCATCAGGAAGATGAGGAAAGAGTGGATGGAGAGCAAAGGGAGGGAGAAGAGGAGGGGGAGGAGCAGGATAGCGATGGAACGAACGAGGAGGAAGGGAAGGGAATGACACTGGATGGGGCCGCACAACAGCAGGGACGCAGCAGACCGCAGGAGCGTGCTTCATCGTCATCGGCGCGCGCGTCTCCCGGCGCCACGGGCCAGAGGAGTCAAGAGCGACCATTCCCATCCACAGGGGCCCTCCTTCCATGTCTCTAGGCGGTGGAGGTTGTTCGTTTGCTACTCGATTGCCTCCGATGTTAGTCCAGCTTGTTCATCGAAAGTGTTTGGAGCGTTGCCATTTACCACCATCATCGCATCTGGTTTCGCGTTTTGTGCTGCATGTGGTTGGTTGAAGCGTGGGGGCGTTTCGCGTCTATACTGTTTGTTGGTGCCGCGTTTGCCAAGGCCCGATGCGCAGCTTAAGTCGCCTTGCGTGGGCTCGTCGGGCTCGTTGGCTTGCAGAGTCCAGGATAGGCTTGAACTCGTCGGGCTTACATTGCGCCGTTGGTCACAGTCCTATTCGGCCTTCGCTGTCAATTTGAGACCTCCTGCGGGGCACAATGATGCTTTCAACGTGTTTCGTTTGCCAGAGACAGACGGAGAGGCCGTCAACGAAGACAGACTCAGAACGAAGTCGGTGTGGGTGGCACATTTTAATCGATGATGTTTTGACCGAGATCGGTGTCTCAAAACACTTGAGTTGCATGTGTGGCTGCTGTCATCCGCGCCAGGTGCCCGTACGCCGTCCGTCGACAATGGCGCACCTCATGCCCTCGCGGCTTGCCCCATGGGCACTTCGTCAATGACTCTGTCGTCAGCCACTCCGCTCGGCTTTTGTCCGCTCTCCGCCTGTTCCGTGCGTGCCTGTGCGTTGGGGTCGAACGTGCGTGAGTTCGTGAGTGGGAAACATACCCGGATGCTTCCCTCAGCCTTCCTTCCGGGCGCCACTGTGGACAGGCCTCCAATCGGCAACACCCCAACATACTTATACTATATGTGCGTCGCCCCCCCAGGGGCGACGCGCGCACCGAGAAATCTTATAGTATATGCGTCGTGGCGGGCGCTGTCTGGCCACACCGCTCGGGAAACGATATACTACAAGATGGGTATACTATATGTTCGGGTCGGACGCGCGCCTCCAAGGCGGACATATAGTATTAGTATATCTCTGTGCGTCCCATCCAAGGGCGAGCAGGGGGCACACAGGTCGCCACAGCAGTGGCGTCCGCGCTGGCCACGGCCCCCCCTCTCCCGAGCGGCAAACGAGGGGGGGGGCGGCCGCACAGGCCCCATCACGCCCTCCGACCACGGAGCGCCTGCGCGTAGACACACCGTGGCCCACGGAGAGCGAGGTGCCCGCAGTCTCCCACAAGATCTCCCCCTCTAAGCCTCCCAGATGGGGTCAGAGTAGATGGGGTCGGAGGATCGCGCCGCATCGCCGATGCATCGGCGATGCGGCTGGATGCGGAGACCGTGTTTTCCCACGCCGACGTTGCCGATGCATCGCCGACGTCGCCGATGCATCGCCGATGCATCGCCGATACATCGGCGATGCATTGGCGATGCGGCGCGATCCGTCGACCCCATCTACTCGGACCCCATCTAGGAGGCCTCTACCCCCACAGTTCAAGAGGGGATCAAAGCTGGATGTGGACGATCCGTAGCCTCAGGGATCGGACCGACAAGCCGTTGAGAGGAGGAGGGGGAGGAGGAGGAAGAAGCAGCAGCGCCGTTACGACAAGAAGTGTTGGGCCAAATGGAACCCTGGCACCGCCAGCGCCGTTACGACAAATATTGCCATTGGAATTTCCGGCACCACCAGCGCCGATACGACAAAAAGCTTGGGGCCATTGGAATGACCGGCATCGCCAGCTCCGCTCCGACAAAACGCCAGAAGCCTATTACTCGAACAGCTCTTGGAGCTTATCGACCTTGGTCTGCAACTCGCGGGCCAGTGACCCGCTCGCCTCCTGCCCCTGCGTCTTCCGCTGCCAGTGACCACGGCGCGGAGAACAGGCTTGAGCTCAGGCGAAACGACCATGTGCATGTGCATCAGTATCGTTTCACCGACCCCCATACCCATCCCCATCCCCTTCGAGACCCCCACCAAATTCCCCCCCCCAGTTGGGGATACACCCCTCGAAACCCGAAGGATAAGGCCTATACCCCCATCCAGGGGGGTAAATCGGCTAGTGGGGCCAAGGCCACGCCGCTGGGGATGGGGATCGGATAAACGATGCTCAGTGCAGCTTCACGGAGTGTTTGTTGAAAGCCTTGCAGAATTTGGACGATAAGATTTGGCCTATCAATTGGTCTGGGTTTTCGATCGCAGCGTTATGTGTACGAACGGCAGCCAAAGCCTCTTTCGAGGCTTGGTAGTGCTCGTCGGCCGCGATGGCGTTGATGATCCGGCACCATAACACGAATCCTCCGATTGGGCCTTCAGCTCCTTGGTCCTCTCTTCGTACTTATTGTTTCGATTTGCCCAGCTGCAATTGGGGCCAATTCCTTCTTGCAGATCACGGTCGTAACAATTACGGCACGTATTCCCCGGAAGTCAATGCCAAGTTTGAGAGCCAGCTGCGTGACAAGAGTGAGGATTTAGCGTTGCAATTTCATGGTGTGCTTCTCTTCCGAATTGGACGGGCTACTGCGCTGCGAGTTCGCGCGAAGACCATCTTGCAGGAGCTGATTCACAAGAAGGGGAATCCGCGACATGTGTTTGCACGTGCGTATTGTATGATCAGAGAATGGATGGATTCGGCTTGTGTTCGGGAGGATTCGGTTTTCTGCTATGTGTGGGCAACGGGGCCACGCGGACAGCGACGACGACGACGACGACGACGACGACGAGGGCGACGAGGACGAGGGGGAGGAGGAAGAAGTCGACGACGAGGGGGTGGAGGGCCAGCACCCCTATCTGTCCGATCGGCCCAAGCCAAGAGCAAGGGGAGAAGGAAGAAACGCATCGGAGTCATATTGGAGCCATATTGACACAATCTTGGGGTCAACTAAGGTTTAAAGGGGTCATCTTGGGGCAATCTCGAAGTCGTCTCGGACTCATGGGGTCGTTCTTGGGCCACCTCGGAGTAACATCGGGGTCGCGCGGTAGCCTTAGTTCAGTCGGAAGACAATGGATTCGTCTCGGTGTTCTCTTGGGGCCGCAGGGTTGCCCTGGGGTCATATTGGGGCCATTGCTTAGCAGGGGTGGGCATTATGAGGCGACAGGGTTAATCTCGTGATCCTTTCAAACAAACCCTGTTGTGTCCATCTTGGAATCATCTTTCCGTTGCTGCCTCTCTCGTTGTTGTCGCTACAGATGTTGTCGTTGCTGCTCGCGTTGATCTTGCTGGTGTTGCCTGGGCTGCCGGTGGTGCTGGTGCTGGTGCTGTGTTAAGTGTCGGTGTCCTCTTGGAGCCATTTTGGGGCCCTTTTGTGGCCCTCGTGGTCCTCTTGGGGCGCAGCGGGGGCCTTCTGAGGACCGTCAGACGCCACCGAGAGGTCCAAGCATTCAACGCACACTTAACTCAAATCGCCTTCTTATTGGAGAGCGTTTTGTGTTGAATTGGTGTAAAAATTGTTGACCACCTTGAAGTCATCTTGGGGTCCTCTTGGGGCCCTCCTGGGCCCATTGGGCACCTGCGGGAGACCTCTGAGGGCCTTACGAGGCATCTAGGAGAGCCAATAATTCAACACACATTTCAGACAACGCGCCTCCTTATTAGAGAGTGTCTTGTGTGAAATGTATGTTAGATTCTCCAGGCTCACGCCACATCCGCCGACCCCTTGATTCGTACCGGCGGCTATCGCCGCGTTTCCGCCTTCACTGCTCGTAGCTGCCAGGCGTTACAGTGCAGTGGCAAGTGCCAGAAGAAAAGATTGAGAGGCCCTCCTTGGACGCATCTTGGAGGCCTCTTGGGGCCTCTTGGGGCCGTCTTGGGCCGTCTGGAGGCGATCGTCGGTGTCTTTGATCGCTCTTCGACCGTCTGTGACCATATTGAGCTCTCTTGGAGGCCACTTGAAGCGCTCCTGGAACGCTCTTGGGGCCGTCTTCGGGGCCCTCTTGGGCAATCTTGGGCGCCTCTTGGGCTGTCTTGGGGCTCTCTTGGGCTGCCTTGGAGCTTCCCTGGAGGCTTCTTGGACCGTCTTGGGGCGGTATTTAGGGCCTCTTGGGCCGTCTGGGAGCGTCGGAAAGCCCAAAAAGCGAAATCGTGAAAAATGTACGTTTTACGAAGGGAATGGGCCAATTTTTGCGTCTAGGGACCCTCGTGGGACGCATCTTGGAGGCCTCTTGGGGCCTCTTGGGGACCTCTTGGGCCGTCTTGGAGGCCTCTGAGCCCGTCTTTGAGCCATCTTGGGCGTCTTGGAGCGCTCGTTTGGCGTCTCGGGGCTCCCGTGGGCCGTCTTGAAGGCCTCTTGGGGCCATCTTGGCCCGTCTTGAGGCTTCCTGGGGCCCGGAAAAGCCCCGGCGGCGCTCGTCCCGGGCCCGGGGGGGGCGCTCGTCCCGGGCCCGGGGGGGGCGCTCGTCCCGGGCCCGGGGGGGGCGCTCGTCCCGGGCCCGGGGGGGGGGGTCAAATCGCCGGTTTGGGGTCCCGGGGGGGGGACTATAGGGGGGGGAACTATCTCACACGCCTAGAGACCCACAAGGGGTCGGCGGATTTCGTGCTCTCTTAGAAAACTCCAAGAAGGCCCAAGAGAGACCCAAGAAGGCCCCAAGAGAGATTTGTGTTTAGCTTCCACGCGGGGGGTCACCATGTATCCGCTGTTTGTACACATGCTTCTTCTTGCACGGCTCGGCTTGAGGCTCGGAGTGCCTTCAGAAGAATTCCAGCCTGAGGTATTCAAAGATTTCGCGTGAGCTTCGAGTGCGATTGCGCTGCTCCCGGAGGGCTCCGAGACGGCCCCAGAGCGTTCCAAGACGCTCACAATGGCTTCGAGACGGCCAAAGACATCCTGCAGACGCCCCCCTTGTGGCTCCAAGAGGACCCCCTCGGGGGCTCCACGATGCCATAACCATATTTGTTCTGGTGGTTTTCTGGCGGGGTTTAGCGTTCTCGCTTTTTCTGTGCTCCAGCGCTCCAAGACAGCCCAAGAGGCCGCCAGGATCGCCCCAAGACGGCCAAAGAGGCCTTCCGTAGCCGTTTTGGC